TTTCAGAACTTTTTTCCATCATCGCATCCGGGCACTTCTGTTAGAAAGTGCAACGAACTCTGTAAACGTTCTTCTAAATAACATACAAAGCTTGTAAATACAAACTATATATATGAATTTTCATTAAGTATTCAGGATGTACAATAGATGAAAAAACATTTCCATAGAGTGCAAATAGCATATTTATAGATAAATTTCTCATTTACATCTTTCCTATTCTATGATGTGATGATTGAATATAAAATGAAAAAAATAAATTAAAAATAATTACAAGTTTTGTGCAATAAAACACACACCAGTAAACAATACTGAAGGAAAACTGCTCAACTATCGAGGCAGGAATGCAGAATCAGGTCTAATACAAGATTCGATTTTTCTATAAAAATTTTATATAGAAAAAAATTTGTACAAGCCTTTAAATTTATTTAATATATATACTTTACACTAACCAACATAGAAATACGTATTTTTAATTTTATTATCCACATTTCATAAAATGAAGATAAAATCTTTCACCAAATAATATGCATTTTGCTTTCAATCCAGGAAACTCTCATATATTTGTTACTGACTAGTGGCATCGCGAAACATTTTATTCTTTGGTATTTCTGCTTACCTTAGTATTTTGATTTAAAAAAGCAATTTAAATACAGAGGGATGGAATGTAACAAAAGCTAAACAATATTTATATAAAATAGATTATATAAAACACATTACTATAAATAAACCGATGAAAGACAATAAAAAAACCTATAATATAATTTATCAATATTCATACAACTTCACATTTTACATAATCTTTGTATATTAATAATTTGCTTGCGTCAAATTTCACTAGATTTTTAGAAATTAAATTAGTTTTCTAAATATCTTTTCATGCAACCGGGAATGTTTATGAATATTCTATACCAATCAAGCATCCATAATCGAGTAATATAGATATGACTATATGCCCATTTCTACAATCAAAGAAATATTAGTACAAAATCAAAATTACAAACATTAAGAAATGTGTCTGGTAGCTAGATATAAAAAAAACTTACATTTTGTATTATTAATTTTTAAGTTTTGCTACTTTTTAAAGGGAGATTTGAATGCAGCAGCACACGTTTTTGAATAATAAACTAAAATAATATTTATTCAAGATAGGGAATAAATAACAATAAATAAGTAAATGTAAAATATAAGTAACAAACTAAACAAAATTTTATTAAACGAATACTCAACAAAATTAGGAAATATTTATATACATCTTTAAAAATGTGGAATTTCTATCAAAAGTATTCTTAAAGTGTTTCTGATAGCGTTTCACAATTACAAATTTAATTAGCAATTTTTAATTTAGTTCGCAAAATTAATGCCATTTAATAAAATTATTATTTATGAATTTTCAGACGAATGAGTAATATGCAAGAAAAATTCCAACAAATGTATTAGAAAATAATATACAGGAATCGAATATTTGCATTTTAAATTAATTTCACAATTGAAATATTTTAAATACTTTTATTTGTTTTGAATGGATGTATAAATTCCGTAATAACTTTTTACATACAAATTTATTACATCTCTTTAATGCAGGTTATGATGGCGCACAGAAAAGAATTCGCTCGGTTATACGTACGAAAGCGAATACATTTCGCTAACATTGTTTCAATAAGGAACGATTCATTTTCTAGGGAGGAAAATTGATACCTTACGACTGGCAACACGTCGTAGATCTTGACGTCAGAAGACGAGGCCACAAAAGTTAGAGTAGAGGATGTAGCTTTCGAAAAAAGGAAGTCTAGGAGTTATCCTGCTTGATGCGCTGTTCCCAGCTTGCAATAAAAGGATGTCCGCCATTTAGAAGAACAGCTTTATAGAAGTTCAGAAGAGGAAATGGTTTTTCGTTTCGCAAGGATCGTCTTTGTTAGGATACACAATACCGAATTTTCTTATTAATGGTTTCATGTCTAAAAACGCACTGGTGACATTTTTCACATAAATACTACTACAATGAAATTTAAGGCATTAAAAAAAATTATGTTAATTGTTTAAAACTTAAGAAAAATATCATATTACTTCAAATAGTTAGCCTGATGATAGCTGGTATTTAGAACAGTTAAACTGATAAATTAATAACAATTAAATTTTCACAAACAATATTACTCTCCAATTTATACAGTTTCCATTCGCTAACTGTATTTAATCGGCTTGAAATAGCAGGTCTACTAATTAGTAAACTACATTTTTAATAATAAAAATAGATTTTAAACTATAGTTTGGTTAAAAACGTAAAACGGCTGAATTTTTTTAATTAAAATTATTCTAGATTTGATTATAAAATACTATAGAAAAATCATTTAAATTTTCTTGTTATATTATTTATCAAGTTGTTTTTAATAATAGAAAAAATTGTTAATTATATAATTAGTAATTTTCTTTTAGTATTATTATATTATATACAAACCGTCGTTAAAGAAACAAAAATTATTCACCGATATAAAACAATTTTAAATCATGATCATTCCTAAACCATTTGCTTTATTTTAAAGATTTCGTTACTACCCGTTATAAAAGTCTGAGTAATATATAAGATCTGTTACAGAAACTGCGTACGGAAAATTCAAAGATCTTAAAAAAATACCCGAAGAATTAAAATTCTGATAATGATTAAAGCATTCAATAACGCATTAAACGATGAAATAAATCCCAACACGCATTTAAGCATCTGGTGACCTGATTTTTAACTTATATCAGAATGTAAGATCTGTTGAATTTTTACGTAAATGCAAAATGAAGTAATTTCGTTTTTTAAACGAAGCTGGTTTATTTGTTTATTAAGTTTTAGTTTAAATAAACAGGTATAATCTTATCGCAAATGACTTTAAGGAGATTCTTTGACTAGAAAAAGATCAGACCAGTGTATTCTTTTGATTCGCAAAAGAGCTATCAGAGCAATATTGCATATATTTCTATCAAATACAATAACAAGCCGTTTGTTATTGAAAAGAAACTGTGATTGTTTCCCTAGCTTTATTACTTAGTTTCGAAAGTATTTATATAAATTATTACATTTTCTTAATACCCATATTGAAACTCTGATAGCGCTTCTAGAAATCGTAAAAAATATAATTATTTCTTTGGTTGAAAAGTAAAACTAAAAAAAAAAAAAAAAAAAAAAAAAAACTCAGACCTATGCATTCTTCATGGGCTGCATTTTTTACAATAATACTAATAACGTAAATATATAATAGACTTTATACATATAAAAATGAATACAATAAAAAGCAATAAATTACATTTTAGGAGAAAAATGTCATAATGACTAGCACACAATGAAAATAAAGGCTAAGAGATTATGTTGACTTATTTTATGCAATATCGCACTGAGAAACAGAAACAGCAAATGCTTCTTTTTGAAACAAATAAAATATTTAGTTTTAGAATTAATTTTTAGTCTCATGGAATTAACAGATTAATGCAATAATTCTGATTGACTTAATTACTGAGAGGCAAATTTATTTCAGCTTTTTAAAAATAAAACTAATCCAGGAAACGTTCTTGAGAAATAGTAATTATCATTACACTTCAAGTATTCTTAATGAAATTCTTAATAACATGATATGTGTATAGATAGACCATAATCATATATTAAATTATACATACATATACTATTCAATATTAATACGCAGTACTTATTATAAAGGTAACTTAATGCATTAAACATATTGAGTGACTGCCTTATGTTATTTATAAACTTTTTAATAAAAGACCAAATAATATTAGTTAAGAAATAATTTATAAATTATCTTACATTTCTTGTATGTCATTACAATTCGATAAACTAATTTTTAAAACTAAATTTAATTAAATAAGATTATGATTCATACAAATATTTTAAATTTTTAAAAATTATAAAATAATTTAATTTTTCTGGATGGTGAAATTTTAACAGTAAACTTTTAACATACTGTTGCGTCAACGTTCAACGATTCGTTTCACCAATTTTTTAACAATTATTTAACAGTCCTGCAAATATATATATATATATATATCTTAATGATAACTCTCTAAATTTAATTTCTCTTACAGTATTAGCATTATCACTTTAGAACTTTTTAATAATTATAACACATAACGAATGAAAATCTTTCCAAAGTTATTTTCATAAAATAAAATTGCATATATAAAGCAGATCCAGATATAGAGAAAAATTATGTTTGAGTAAAGGTACACAGAAAAGACTTTTTTTAATCATACATATGGTAATACTTAAACATTATCAATATAAAACTGAACATATATTGCTGACACTATGCTTTATAAAAGAATACAGTTAAATTTTGTGACCCTTAACCAATTCTGGTCTATGTGATATCTTCAATACTGACTAGACCTCTTGTCGTGATCATTAAAAACTGACTACATCGATTAAAAAAAATTCTTTTTCATCGGAGATAGCAGAAACTGTTATCGAAACTTATAACAGTATGATATATATATATGTAACAAATTATGTGAAGTTTAAGAGCCAGATAGCTACAAAAGCCTGGAACAGCTGAAGGAGTTTTAAGATATTCAAATGGTATTGACATTAACGATCTTCAGAGAACTAATTATTAAGCTAAAATAAAGAACTCCGTTTATGTACTATAATAGCAGAACTATTAAATAAGCAATTTGTACGGAGAATTAAATTTATAAAACAAATGTATTTATTAATGATTCTTTCATTAAATGAAATGTTAATCAATTCCATAAAATAATTTCAGTTTACATAATCTTTACATTATTAGAATCACATTAAAAGCATAAATTAATCAAAGAATAGTAAATTTTGAGCATTCTACATGCCACTCTTATATTGCTTCAAAAATCGTTTTTTAAATTGTTATAACGTAAATCCATAATGTTTAAAGTAAAAAGTTAAATAAATATTTTAAGAATTAAAATTCTAACTACTAAGCGCGGTTAATTTAAATTAACTAGGTTATTAATCAAGATCCACAACATGATTTGTATTTTAAAATTTGTTTATTGAAATATAATTAACCAATACCGTTTCAGCCATTAGTTCTAAGTTAATGAAAACACCAAAGTTCGTTAGAATACTTTTGCCACTTCTTCAACTGTTCCTAAAGTAATTAACATTCAGCTGGCTTATTTTGTTTTGTTCCGAAGGGCCTCCACAGAAATTTAAGAATATTTACATATGTGTCTCGTGCATCACTCGTGACAAAGTTCGACCGAAGATCAGCATCAGCAAAAAATGGATATGCGTTTTCTGTTTTGTTGATTCTCAGTCATATAGTCTCCAAACGGGGTAAGGCTAACAGCTTCGCGAGACTCTTCTCTTTGTGTTTGCTGATAACAGCAGTGGGATCAAAACGTCCTGACGCTGGAATGTTCGTGGCAGAGTCAGCAGGATTGCACATCCTTTACAATGTTACAAATTTTAAGAACGCTGTAAAACATGAATCAATGTAGCTCAGCTTATTTGTTCATTTTACTTCTCAAATAAATATTCGACAAAATTTCTCAAATGTAGAGTAAGATAAAGTTTTGTGCCAGTACATCCACAACAGTTAACAAAACAGTGGCATAACAGATTTTTTTAAAAGAAATCTTTCTCTGTGTAACTGGTAGCTTTTAAAAAGAAACTTCTACAAAGACTGCATCTATGACGAAGTATTGTACTTGAGTTCAAAGTGTGCTCCATCCTCAAGCTGTTAGCAGTACCCAGGAAAAATTGCTCGTGGTTCGCACATTTGGATATTTGAAACTTTCAGTCAACTAGAAGTACTCGTGAGTACTGATTATCGGTCTCTGTCATTCAAGTATCGATATGAAGTCCAAAGAAGGCACGGATTTACAAGTTCCACCACCGTCACTCTAACGTTTCGAGAAAGTTCGGGGATTTGAAATATTCGGGAACATTGTCGTCCATACGAGCTATGATCTTGTAGATGGACTTCTTCCAGGATTGCTCGGAGTCTTTACCGGCCACCAGGGCTTTGTAGAACTCCCGCAAAGTTTGTTCGACCACATACCGAAAGTTTTCCGGAGCCTGTGAAGAGAAATCAAACATCAGATAAACATACTAAAATACCAAGATGCACTAAAAGTTTATACTTTATGTTAAGAGCAGAAATGGGCTTTCAACACTTCGTTATCCACTCTGACATTAAAAACTCGAACTACACTTTATTGATTTAAAAAGAGAATAAAAAGTCTTTATCATTAGTATATACAGATACCTCTAGATGATGTGTTATAACATATATAGATGGCTATTAAAATTGCTACAGCCTGTAAGAAAACAGTCCGCAGAATCACATTTATTTTTAAAATAAATTACAATAGAAGAATGAAATGAGTAAAATTTAAGGTAAATCTAAAGCACAGAAAATATTCAATATCCCGAATATTTGAATATGACAACAACAGCCAGACTTCATTTACGTATATTATCGCGCTTTTCCCCCTGCATCTATTGATTAAATAATCGCTGAAAGAAACAGAAAACGCACCGAATAAGACAGGAGTTTAACATACTGTGTATTAAGTAAGCGTAGGATAACATCGAAATATAAAGTCTCGACTGCCTTGTTGAAATATTGGGCACGAAGATATGGCACAGTCACCAGTATTAAAACATCAGTAATGTAACTGCGGCCGCCCAAAATACCGAATACCTGGACTACGAGCGAATAGTATGCGTAGATACTGGAACTTGTACAACTCCAAGCTCAGGTTCGGTTTGATGATGGAGAATGTAAGTTCCCAGTGCTTCTGTCAGTGCCTTTCCTACACAGATACACCATCCTGATGCAGAAAGCAAAAGAGGAATTCATAAAAAAAAAAGACGACGTCACGTGCATGTTGTCGAACGCAACATTATAGGCGTTGGTCCTTGCACTAATAAGTAATAACAGCTTCGCTGACAATCTGTAGCATTGCAGGCATCGTCGCACTGTTCATGCATGCGCATATCTGGTACTCGTAACGCACCCAGTTCCCTGACTCAGAGTATCCGATATAGCTTATGACACTTAACAACAATGTGCCTCTTTGACATGTCGATAGCAAATTCTCATAACAATCACTGAATTTCGGGACAAATGAATAACAATTGCACGGCACAAAAATCCATATTACAATGGGCCACAGTTTTCCGGCAATAGAATTCTGAGACTGGTGCTATGAGTTTCTTCTGATAAGAGACATAACACAGCCTCCAATATAAAAAACAACGAATAAATGCGATTTCTGAATGAAAAACTAGCATTCAGTCTGCTTTCTTAATACTGCTTCGAGCTGTCATGACTCAAACTTGCAATATGCGCATAAAGTAAAATTCTAATCACTTGCATAATCTTAGCATATTCTTTTTATTTTCCACGCAAATTTCAGGCTTGCTGTGCGCTTCCTTCATGGCACATCAGCCAGTTTTAAGAGCCAGCAGTATATATAAACAGAAGACAATCGTCACGAAATGGTACATGAATCAATTATAAGAACATGCAATTAAAGTTTACAGAAATCCAAGACAGATTATTGCGTATAAATACAACTAGAATTCTTTTTACAGCTACCCTTATTGACAGCACATAAAAGATAACATTTCAGTTTATTGGCGAAACTTGCTTTGAATTACTTCATATTTCCTAGCTGTAATTCCATTATCTTTTAACATACAACGAGATTTGATCATAAGCAATGTATTTAATTATATATATGTAAGAAAAATAAAGAATATGTAAAAGATTAAATTAGCAGCGTAAATTAATTTCCCTTCTCTATTCCAAAAATAGCAACATCTATTTGCACTGCGCCATTTCGAGAAAAATCTATGTCATATGACTCTTACGTAATTCTGGTGACGTAAATGGAACTAAAACTCAAGCAGCCAATAATAATTTTACACCAATATTAACTATCCAATCAAAATGCTTTGAGAAACAAAAATAATTCAGTGTCACTTAAGATTTCATCCTGAACATTACGCTTTTTCTTTCTACGCTTTGCCTTAGCTGGACTGCAGCCTATCTGCTTCTTCGTTTTGGCTGCAAATCTATCAAAAATGTAAGCCCTTTGGAACAGGCTCATTTAATGTGCCGATTCGTGCGTAGCCGCGATATGTTGTTGAAAATAAAACTGAAGATTTAATCTGCCTTCGCTTCAAATTTCCTAGTCATTATGGATCAACACTTCTACGCCATCCAAATTTCTGCTACTGAATTTATTACGTATGTATTTATATGTAAAATAGACAACTACGTTTTTGCTTGACTTTAAAAATACATGTTTATATCAATGCGTTGATAACAGATTAATATAACCAATTACTTGTTAGTTATCTAAACTGTATACGGCGAGTCGCATTAATAAGCAGTAAGTTATTAATGCTATTAAGAAACCATAATTTTATGTGATTCCTACCCGATTTTCTGAGAATCACATATACAGCTTAATTACAGCACTGAACTTACGGGAGAGAAAGCTTATCTTAAATGCAACAGTGGCCTTAAACACCTCATATCATTATAAATCTTACTGTTTGGGATTGGAAATCTAATTAGGAGTGCGCGGGATTTGTAAGACGCATGATTCTAACACTTCCAGATTTATACAGAGAAGCTGGATTATTTCGGTAATGTATCGACGACAAAGCCTTCAGTTTCTCTACACAAATACTAGAATTTCCATTAGAGTCACTGCGGTGGGTGGCCATATTAGCTTATGCATAATTTCTAGTCAACCAGTCCAGTACACATTCTTCAGCAAATAAGACCAGAATGTAGCTGAGTCGTTCATTAAATATTAATTATTATATTCTAAACTTATGACATTGGCAATATCCTAAAACTTCTATCAAAATTCGAATTTCTCTTTGGTGCGACGGTGCAAACTAGCACCAGCTCAACTATCTTAGAACGAAAAGTAAAATTTCTTGTAGGATTAATAAGAAAACTGTTGTCAATATCTCTAAACTATCCAAAATTTTAAACAGTGTAATATGTTGCTCACTTACATTGACATCTTATTGTTTAAAAAATACATAAATACATTTTGATGATGAAATTTTAAAAATCTTTTAGCTTACCTCGATATGATTGTTCCTGTTGTAATGTAGATTGAGAACACGCAGTAATTCGGAATCTGTGTTCACCTTCAGATCTTCAGATGTCTTGATACCTTCGCTCATCGCCTGCCGAGCGTACTTCTCCATTTGTATATAGAAGAATTCCCTATTGATGAAAGAGTGATTAATAAGCATTCATCGGATAATGAATTTTCAATACAATTTTAGCTTTTAAAAGAATAGAAATCACTTAATTCTTTGCATATACAGTAAGCAGAGAAAATAAAGGGCAGAAGACAGTTTTTCTAAGGTAAGCAATAAAGATTTTTTTTACCAATACATTATGACTTCTTAATCTGTCATCGAAATATATTTACATTTCCGTAAAGTGAGTACTGTAAAATTTTAAGTCTTACAAATGAAAATCACAGGAGTTTGAAAGTTCATACAAGACGTTCAGAATGCTTTTAGCAAGTCACTTTTGTATGGTCCCCAGCGCAGCTGACATCTTTTTTAGACATTCTTTTACTAAGTTTTATTCTCATTGTTCATTCTCATTCTCATCGTATTAAATGACTGAAATATGCTGCTATTATTCATTATTGTATTATAAATTTTTCTCAAACGTTAACACAGATTTTGTTCTAAGCGTTTTGATGATTTGATAGAGAACAATACAGTAAATCCTACGATCGTACTATGTATTTTATCTAATAAATATTAATATTTTTTATTTCATTTTGTAAGTGTTAGAAGATGTTTATACATTTATAAAGTATTTTCCCCCTCCTTTTTGCATGCCTTCGTGTAATTAGAAGCATGCTCGAGGAGTATTCGAAAGGTCCAGGGTTCGAGTTACGGAGAGGGCACTACCATTTTTTATGTCTCCAGTATATAACCAATCACACCTTAGCTTTATTTATGCATCTACGTAGTATAAATACTGGTTCACGAGCAATTACGCCTTCCTTACGCGCACATAAGTCCAATGTCCATATACCAATGTCCTTACCCGACCACCTTTATTCTTTGTTTTCGCAACTTGAAGTGTATGTCTACCCGCTGGCCGTAGACTTACGCTTCCAGTTATAAAAATGTCTTAAATAACACAAATTTCATATTTTGGCATTTTTAAATTTTTAAAAAATTAATTTTATAAAACTTACGAAATATAAGCTTTTATATGATCCCCTTGTCCCTCAACGCATAGTTAGAAAAAAATGAATACTCACAATATCCTGCATTCTGTCCACGTTAGGCTGAAACGACGCTAAAACGTCCTTTTGGGCAAGAAAGTCTCGAAACGGGATATATCGTCGCCCACTATAAGCGGCGAATCACTTTTCAAATTGTTGCCATAAAATATTTTCATTCCGTATTATTTTTAAAGAAATTAAATAATAAAGAATCTGCACGTATGTATGTATATTCCTCGCACTGTGAAAAAATGGCGGTACCTAAGGCTATCAAATTTTGAATAACGTAGTCCTCCATCCGAACATGTCACCCTGGAAGCCCGAATTTTAAATTTCGAATTTTATTTATTTCGAATTTCATATTTAATAAAACTTTAATAAATTTTTGATTAACAAATCAACGATTTCAAAGCGAGCAGTGCCTACACAATACGGAAAAAAAAAAAATTTTATCTCCAGTGCGAAAGACTGTTTATCTGAAAATTCTGAAGATATGCTGTTTTTAAACATTTTGTGATTTTGGTGTTGAATAGAATTTTATGTAGCGTAAGTTGAAAGAACATGATATTAAACACTCAGAACGCTAATAATAAAAAACAAAAAAATTTTGAAAGCCATCTAATTAAGATAAACTGAACACTCATATGATGAACTGAGAAAAGACCGAAAAATAGGAAAATGTATGCCAACACTTTTAACACTGCATAAGGAATTCTAAACATATGCTATGCTGCTTTTAAAATTTTCGTGATTTTGCTGTTGAATAATATATGGCGCAAGTGAGAAGAAAATGACCCTTAATAATAAAGCTGAAAAAAATGTTAACAAGAGTGGGTTTAACAGCAAACTGGCATACTGTGAGCTAAGCGATTTCCCATTTCTAAAGAGGATTGTTAAAAAACCTTAACAATCTGCGACCGTTAAAATCTGAACCCGTTTAGATTTTTCTTTTCCCTTCCTTTTTTTTGGGGGGGGGAAGGGTATTGTCTTTTCTTGTGATGGAATACACATAAAGAATAAAATGTTGGTAGGATTTACAGTATTATGTATAAACAGGATGACGCAAAATTTTCCACATATAAGGTGATTTTAAATTTAAAGTAAGAAAGTTTTGTTGTATGTAAAAAACCTTTATGCTTTGTTCTCCGTAAGCTTACTTATATGTAACAATCATTACGCCGCCTTATGTACAATTAAATCAAGAATATGACTGTAATGTGCTGTAAAATACAGATTACTGAAACGGGAAGAAAATGAACATCATTATCACCTGGTGACGAATTTTTGCGTTATCTTCTACACACGCACAAACCGATTTTAAGAAATGTTAAAACATATTTCTGTCAGAATTAAAAATTTTTTCTCGATATTGGCTGAAATATTATAAGCCGTATACTAACTGACATTATGAAAATATTGATTATATAATGCTGAAAAATGCAGAGTTATTACGCAAAAGTGTCACAGGAATTAAATAGAGTCACACCTTTTTGCGCGATATTATTTTTTTTTAAGATCTGCTTTCTAAATGTTGATTTTAACGAACAACAGGGTAGCAATAAAAAGTAAATATATTCCATTGGCCGCATTCCACTTTCTAATCACACGCCTCCAAGATCTGCATTTGATTAGCTTTCTTTTCCATTAATTCTTAGCAACACGAAGCTAAGTATTGCTATCGCTTGCTAATTCAAATTTCAGACGCTCATGGCAATGGGCGTTGCGTAGTTTCTCGTTAAAGCTCGAGAAGGGGGCGGAATAGCTCACATTTTCCGAAATCAAACTGCGCTAAGATAGGGTGTGCATCTGCATGAAGACAATCATGGGAAGAGAAGGAAGGTGGAAAAGTTAATCTGTAACACGAGACCTAGATAATAAGAATCTAATGAAGAACACTGGATTTTCCGCTCCTTTTCTCGTACGGGGAGGAATCTTTGGAGATTACTTCGCAGTGAGTGCAGTTTCCATCCGAAATCTGGTAATATAAATTAATAAATAAACGCTCTTAAGAGTCTGAGGCAATAATCTTTTCGCGTCTTTCCGTCTTGTCTCCGCCACGTATGTACTACATTCCGTGCTTTGGAAAGATAAAATTCTTTGCTTTTAGGAATTCTGACATAAATTTGTGCCATCATTATATGAATATTTAATCACGCAAATGTTAAGAATAAGCAAATAGGAGTAAATAAATGTCAAAGAATTTAAGTTAGCAGAATGGCTATTAGATTACTAAACTTTCCACGCGATTGTACATTTCATTTTCAAAATATTTCTACAAATACAAAATGGCAAATTAGCCTAGTTTGCATTTACAGCTTTGACTACGACCGGATATCGACAACTGTTGCCTTCGACACTGCGTTGCTTTCATTCTGAAATAAAAGCACGTTTTCAACCAGAATTCGAGTTAATTGTCTTCATGACCAGGCAGATGATAAAAAAATTTCTTGATTGTATTAATTTATAGTTTGTATTTGAATTTCAATGCTATATCTCATATGTTGAAACATGAGTTAGATTCATAAAGAAATTTCTCTCGGCATTTCATGCAAGATGTAAAGCATTCTTTTAATAGATACGTAATTAGCATATAAGGTTCTCAGCCTACCATCTACGTATCCTATCATCTCCGCCTACCACCTCTAGGAGAAATGTATTTATTTTATTCAAGGATAGACCTATTAAACCACTCATGCGGTATTGTGTTTTGCTACGACTTGGAAGAAATTCCCAACGTTCTTGGTTTAGCCACAAATCCACAGGTCGACTTGCTATAGCGGGTAAATATTCACAAGTTAGTTTAAAATTATTAAAAGAGTCATTAAAATTTTACTTAAAGGTACAATCAAATTGAAGGGAAATGTGGAAAAGGAAAATAGAGCTGGAAATGTTTTTTCACTTTTAACATAGACAAACACGGCAGTAAATTCTTACACAGCAACTTCACTACAGAAACAAAGAACGGAGTAGAGAACACTTGTTATTTTCATGGAACGAATGTGTTTTCTAAACATTACTTATGCCAGCAAAAGAAGTTCTTTTTTTTTAGGTTAATGACCTCAAAATGAACATACCGGCCACTAAAAATTCCATAAATGAGAAACAAATACTAGTACAGACGGATTTCGTCTCAAAGGTCCATTAGATGCATGTCTTTTACAAGTGCAGACTGGTAAGTGGAACAGCCTAAATAAAGCAGGGAAAAGTGTCTGTCTTCGTTCGAAAACCATTTTCTCCTCACAACCCTAACTGCAACTGCCATCCACTAAGAATCCTCTTTCTCAAAATCTGATTTCAACGTACCAGCCCTTTTCCAGTTACCGACAAGGACAATCGAATTAAGACGCAGATAATTCACGGCTTCTAAACGGAAAAGGTGCGAGGAGGTAAGGGCGAAGAGAGAAGAGGCTAGAAAACTTCGTTAAAGCGAATTCGTTTAAGACGAACTCGCCGGTGAGATTTCGCGGCGCGGAGTAATTAGTGGCCCCCTGATGGTGTCAAAGGTTCCAAAGTATAACCGTTCTCAAAGAGACCTTTCCCCCTAATTGGAAAGCATTATGCTCAAAGGTATCATCTAGAATTAGGATATGGCTGAATCTGTACCAGTCCTTGCTTGAAATTGGTACTAATTCTGCAGATTAAGAAAATATTCTCTACAAAATAATGATTACAACTGGAAAATCTGACACTTGTATATCTCCAAATAATATGCAACAAACTGAAATGAACATTTAACTCCAAATGAAGAATGCAACTGCTTGGTACCATTCACCATACCCATTTGCAATTGTCTATCTGTTTCAAGTTAAGAGAGTTCCTTTTGATGATCCGAATTGAATTAAAGGTAAAGACATCGATTAGAAATGGACCTGTGCCTAAGCTAACTGAGTTTAGCTTTCACCTACGAACTTTTCACACATGATGTACGAATACAGAACTTACTAACTGAGTTTTGGAGGAGACGAAGATC